AATCGCATCCGTCCAGCATGGCATCAATTCGAGAGTCTTCCTTCAGCATGCTTGACCCCTCCCACTCTTCATTCAACCTCATAGACACATGAGCCGCTTATGGCCGACCTTGGCAAGTATCATCATGATGGCAATGGCTTCGACTGTCGCTGTCGCGGGCGACGTTGATGTCCCTTTGTCGTTTGGCATGTCATGTGGCGAATACCCCGAGTCGAGACGCAACGGAACAACCCTCCGATTCGCACGCACTGTGACTGATGCCACAGCGTCGTTCATCGCACTGGCATTTCAAAACTTCTCCCTGCCGCCGGGAGATTTCATACTGCTTCGACAGCTTGCGCTGGGGACTTTGTCACCTTTGCAGCTTCCTCCAGTTCGCTTGGATAGCATGTCGTATCGCGGGTCGTTCGTGGCCCCGCCACTGTCCACGACATCTGTCTCGATCGAGCTGTACACCAACAGCAGCAGCGACGCTGCGACGCCACCGACAGGTCGCAATGTGGTCAAACCTTGTCGCGGTGAGTTTGAAATCATCGGGTACAACACGCATTTGGAAGGCGGGAATGGCAAAGAAAGCGTGTGCGGCACGGACGAATCCATCGAAGTCGCGTGCTTCAACGACATCAACCCGATCCACCGGTTCATGTACCTCCGGAGCGGGGCCATTGCTCGTCTCATCATTCAGCGCGGCCAATCGCTCTTTGGTTGTACGGGGTGGTTGATCGGGACGCAGGGCCACCTGGTCACAAACAACCATTGCATCCAAGACGCCGCCGATGCTGCCAACACCCGCATCGAATTCCTCGCGCAAGCCACGTTGTGTCCCGACATTACGACCAGCAGCGGCATGTGCGACCGGCAAATGGCATGTCCGGGCGAAATCTATTCGAACGCGACGAAAGAGTTTGTGACAACCAGTGTCGATCTCGACTACACGCTCATCCGCCTCGACCCGAGTGTCGTGGGACGGTATGGCATGCTGAAACTGCGGGCATTCGCGAGCGTTGTCGGTGAGCCCGTCTACTCGGTCACGCACCCCTTGGCATGGGGCAAGCGGATGCAATACAAGAAGAACGGTTCGCTTGCTGCCGTCGTCGCGATGGGCAAGACAGAGCTCCAGTACATGCTGGACACGCGAAAGATGTCGTCGGGGTCTCCCATCTTGTCCCTGCAGGACCACTCGGTCGTGGCGCTCCACCACGCTGGGTTAGAGAATTGCCCCAATTTTGGTGTGCGCAGCGACATCATCGTCAAAGACCTGCGCGCCAAGAAGCTCCTTCCCGACAACTCGACAATTGATGGATAAAAGTAAGATGACGTCAATCAACCTGGCTGTGGCAATGTTTTGGAATCTGACGCGGCAAGGCGCAAAGGTGGAGGTAATCTCCCCAATGAGTGCATGCTCCTCAACCACGGAATCTCGGAGGTCGACGCCCTCGTCATTTCTGCATGTTGCTAATTGCGATGGGGGAAATCACATCATTCGGGGCGACGAGAGAGATGTCCAGCACTTGCTCCGACCAGCGCGCAAAAAATTCCTCTGCGCGTCAGTAATGCAGAACCTTTGCTCTCGAGCACACGAACGCGAGATCCTTTTGCGAATAGAAACGACCTTGTCCTGAAAATCGCTGACATCAGAGCAATTCCATGGTCGTCCGTTGTTCTCCATGTGCATCGCGTCATGTTCATCTACTTTCGACGACGCAACTGCACGTTCAACTCGCCGTCGTCGCCCTCTTGATGGTTCTTCTTGAACTCGTTGTAGCCGCGAGTCATGACTTGGCCCATGTTGAGGCCACGTGAAAGGCCGTATTCCGCTTCCTTGGACATTCCGCTTAGCACGCGACGGGCATATCCTTCCAATTTGCGTATAGAGTAAGCAAATGTTCACATAGGCTCGTCGAAACGGATACCTTCAGTGGTCACTGGCGCACTGCTGCCAAACCCAATCGCGAGCGTAAAGTTCATTTTCGGCAGGCGCAACACAACTTCTTGTTCGTCAATCTGGCACAACAGTCTGGTAACCATGACTAGTCCAAAGGAGATTGGCGTCGTACCGACACGACGGACGCTCCTTCTGCCAGGTCTTCCGTGACGCTGCCGTAGTACATGGCAAACTGGCGTGCCGCGTCAAAGCATTCTTCATTGATAAAGTGGACCAAGTCTTGTCGGGTTTCCGCATCCAAATACGACTGGTATTTGCCTACATCAACAACGCATCATGAATGCACCAAGCCACACGCGTCGCCACCGTCGTGCACGTCCAGAACATGCACTGTGTTTGGCTTGTCTCCATTGGGTCGTGGTTCGAACCTTCGTCGCTGGCCGTGTAAAGCGACACGAGCAGCATAAAGTGGCTCAAGTGGAGCACCGTCGACGATACGTCCGTTGCAGGAAAAGTGTTAAACGCGTACTCGCAAATGATGAGGACCTTGGCCTTGAAGATCATGGGCATGTTCGTCTTCCATAACAAATATGGGAGCGTTGGAAAATACCACGCGTAAAACTGGTAGTGCAGCGTGCGTGAAAAGCAAATACCGACAAAATTGACGACGAATAGCGACGTCACGATGCGCTCAACCCGGATGGGCACGCGTTCACTAGACATGCCACTCATGAGCGCTTCCTAGCTCCATTTCGTGGCTGAGATCGCCGCGACAACTCTTACCGCAATTGGAACGGTCGATACAAGAGCGCCGACATGCTTAGGCGTTGTGGTCCCGAGAAATAGTATTTGTGCAAGAACGCAATTAAGACCAGTAGGTGACCGCTAAGAAGCAACAATGCCCACGGCTTGGACAAGAAGATCTATTTACCAAGTGAGCGACGAAATCCAAGACAGTGTGAGGGGCACGTACGTGTTCAGGAATGCACTTCCAATTGACAGTCCATTGGTACGTAAACACGCGGCTGAATTCGAACGCCTTGGTCAAATAGCTCCACCAAAACGTCTTGATGAATGGTAGCGCGAGCGCAACTTGAAGCGAAGCGCAGATAGAAAGGTACCCGATCGTGCGCAACACTCCAGAAGATTGGAGGAGCAAGAAGAACAGCGCCGGCGCAAACAACAACACGTTCATCTTGATAGACACGGCGAAGCTGTACACAAGGCAGCCCAAACGCCACTGCTGACGGCAAAACAAGTAGATCGCCAGAAAGAGAAACATCATGGCAATGCCATCGTTGAATAAACGGAGCATGAAGATCGAGTGGAAGCGCTTTGACGTGCACACTAAGATGGCGGTCCACGGCGGCGCGACGCGAGAGCGGTAAAATATCGCAAAAACGGTCGAAATCGTGATCAAGTAGAACCCAAGGAAGATATATTGCGCTGGAAAGGACATGAGAGTGTCAGAACGACACATTGCGTGACGTGGAAAGGGCAATACCTCGACGAATATCTTCTCCGTTGTTCGTTACCCAGTGCAAGAACGCGTAGATGTACACGTGGCCAGCAGGGTACACCAACGGCCCAGTGTCGCCTCGGATGTTGATGTAGTCGCGCTCACCATTCTTGAATTGGGTAACTTGTTGCATGTACGCTTTCCAATCGATTTCCGTGTCTATGAGCAACAAAGCATGAAAAAGACGTCAAGAGAAGATCGCACGAACGAGCCGTGCTATTGAACTCACATGGAATCTTTTGGATGATGAGCACACCGAGAACGAGTTCCGCCAAGAGCAAGATCGCCACAATGATGTGGAAGTACCGATAACTCCACAGCAAGTCATACGCATATGAAAGCGCTCTGTTGGTTGCGGACACTTTCACCACATCCTTGTCGATGCGAGTCGTGCGCTTCTCGCTCCCCAAGTTGGCTCCCTTCGATTTCCCGCCTGCCATGAGGATGATCTCAACTTGACACGAAGCCAAATCACCCTAGGTGAACTTCCAAAATTAGTGTTAGAATTACAAATCGTATTACAAATAGTGTTCTTCGTCTTGCTACTAGTACTATTAGTAATACTAGTATAGGACTGTGTCAAAACCTTGGCACAAAAGTAGTCCAAGCATTGCATTTGAATGTGCGGGGGGAGCGCGGCAATCATCGAGTCTTCGTCAATCCCGCGCTGGGCGGACCAAAAGTGTTCATAAAGGGCAAGGATTTTGGTTTGGAGCAGCTTGGGAAGGCGTCGAGAAGTCAAGTACTCCTTGACCCCGTCCACCTGGTCGTGCAAGTCGTTTTCCATGACGGCTCCCTCGATGCTGAACCGCATGAACCGGATTCAGATTCCGATCGCTCGCTCCAGATCTGTATGAGGCACAGGAAACCCAAACCCAACCAGCAAGTACGTGTACGTTCGAAAAAGCGACGCCCTTACGTGTGCAAGCGTAAGGACACACGGCTCGAGTGCTGGCTAAGGCGTCGAAACAATCTCTCTCCCATGTGCAAAAGCCACCTTTCAAGCTGTGGTGTAGTTGTGAAAAGGATGAGGGGTTCGCTCCAAGAGCTTCGTCATCCGATTTTGCACGACGACTGGATTCCAAATGCATGGATGCCGAGCGCATAACGTATCAGCATCATGGTGGCGTCATGAGCAACACGACGACGACGTCGTGTCATATCTTGTGACCCCATTCAAACACCCCCAGTGGTTCGTGCTAATCGATCATGTCAGGGCTGGTCGCGTCAAGTGAGTCGGCTCAGTAGATTCATTCGTAGCCCGCCATCCCGAACGACTTGTTGGCTTGGTTGGGTTCACGAGTTTGTAAAAGTGTCGGGAATGGAAAATTGTGACAAGGTGTCTTGCCCAGACTGCGGTCTCTCAATGCTTGCTTGTCTTGGAATGAAACTCGCTTCGGTTGGCAGCAGTGATGAAGTAAGCTAAGTGCTGCGTACAATGAAGTGGAATTACGGTGGCTTGCCGTCACACGACAGAAGCGAGTGACAGAAGTGTAAACTCGCGGGTGGTTGACGACTCTGATGAAACGAATGTGCACGGTCACGTCGCCAGGTAAACTCTTGTTCACCGTGCAACTCGTGTCGCCGATATCTGTAGCTACGATGCCCATGCCGACAAATGCTGCAGCAGAGGCAGGTTGGGCATTCGGCACGTGAACTTGTCGCCATGGACCACAAGTTGCGGCCCGCAAGGCCAAGGAGGCCATCTCAACGGAGGCCACCGCGCTTCTCGAATCCAGACAACCACTTGGGAATATAGCATGTGATTCGCCTAGGGGCGGAGTGCCCACGGCGGCAAACACAGTGACGACAAGGCAGTCTCCAGGACTGGGAGATATGTGCAAAACAGAACGGGCAAGAGGCGCAGCAGTATGAAGGAGGGCGATAGCGTTGCGATGAAATCACTTGCAGTTTTGACTTTTGAATGTCTGCTTTGACGTTGCAATGCCATCCCGAGTTCGGGCCGCCTCATCTGACCTTGGTGTGCGGGAGCCAGCGCAGTCCCATCCAACACACTTGACTTCTCCATGACACGGAAAGTGCATGCCCCCACCACTGTGTCCTGGCTACCCACGTCCGACCGGCGGAGCGTCCACTCATGCCACCAACGGTCGCTAGTGAGCCACAAGAGCTCCTCTCACGCCTCTGCCATCGCTCAAGGCGTAGGCAATCATCTCAAGCGACGTTCGATGAACGCTCTCACGGACGGACTCACCCAGCTCAAGAACACCCTATCTGCGACCGGTCCAACCAAGATGGAAGTGGAGGTGCCGACCCGGCCGTCGTTTAAGCTTCCCCAGCCGTCCCGTTCCTTATCCCGCTTCTTGTAGCCGTACTTTCCTCGCCAAGCTTGGTTTGGCCTACGAAGAACTTGAAAAGAGGGCGTCGCCCACAGTGCTCCTGGGCTGCGAAGCCATGCAACTCGTGTACACAGGGTTCACAGTCCCGTTTCGCATTGGATTCATGTACAACCCATACTTCACGTCGATGCCGTCGCCAAGACCAGAGTTTCCCGAGGTCGTCATGTACTTGCTGTTGGCGCTAGACATCCTCTTCGACTTAATCGCGCTCGTGGCGGCGCTTCGGATTCTCAAAACTCCAGGAGCTGTCAACGCAGTCGTGCCCATCGATCAATCGGAGCCAAGTTTCAGTGTCAAGGCGACGCATCACCGCAACTCGGAGTTCCAGCAGTCACTAGTCAAGTTTGCAATCACGAGGCAGCAAACGATGCGTCGGAACTCGGCGTTCTTGGCCAAGGAAACGTCGAGGAAGCCCCAATTCTTGCTCAGCTCAACATGGGACTAGCTAAAGGGCCTTCGGCGGTACCAAATCATCGCCGAGTGGCTTGCGCTCCTTCCATTCGACTTGGTGTTCATCGGCCAGCCCAACGCGATGATCCTATGCCGCATCCCCAAGCTTCTGCGCATGTACAAAGTCCCAGAAATCACCCGTCTCGTCAAACAAGCGTTCGCCGAACACGAACTCCTCTCTGGGTTTCACAATGTCGGGATGTCCCTGCTAGCTGGCGTCCTCTTGCTCAGTTTGGCTCTCATCCACTGGGCTACGTGCCTCTTCCTGCTCGTGGCCCACTTGGAGTGCGGATTCTACTTGGACCAAACAGTCAGCGGGCAAACGTGCTGGGCAAACTAAGGTCAGCTGCAAGGTGCGAACTCGGGCCATGGACGACTTGTGTAAGTAGCGAGTGGCTTGTGAACCGAGTCGACCTCAATTCAGCTCCCTCTACACGCGCCAGACCACAAGAATATCACAACGATCCCATCGTCCACGTACAAGTGGAACGACCTCGTGTGGCACGACGACTCTTCACGCGTTCGCAGACCGCATGCGAAAATACTTTTTTTACACAATACATATTCGTAGTATGAATGGTGTAACCTACAAAAAGGCCCATTTTTATTCAGGATGAGACATGGCACGATGACGGATGAAGAAAGGCTGGCCAGGAGCCGACAACGATGCGCCATCAACCAGCGGAGGTATCGCGCTAAACTGCAAGCCATGAACAAGCAGCGGCGCTCGGACTTGGAAGAGCTCAGTCGAGTGAACAAGCGACTAGAGCGGCATCTCGCAGCTTTTCTCGACAAACGTGGTTTGTGGTGCCATGCTGAAGAACATTCCATCCTGGAGTACTTGCGGCTGTTTGAGCGCGGCTTTACGCACACGGAGCAGCAGGTGTCGTTCTTGCGCTACTTCGTTGCTCCCGATGCGTGGTACAATGGTCATGTAGGTGAATCGTCCCCACTTCCCCCATGCAACCACAGTGTGTGAAAGACTTCTGTAGATTGGCATTGACGGCGTGATGGCGTACTGGATCACTCGCTCCGCCATGTTTACCTTTTTGCGCGTGAATTGCATACGACTGACTCCCGTTGCCCGCACAAACGAGGGAACTGTCATAGAGATGCGCTGCGTGGTCCACCTTGGCATGACCCTGCCGGCCATGCGAGCGTTGTTTCCCCACGTTCTGAACCGGCAGGACCTTGTGGACAACATTCTGCGCACGCCATTGCAACTTCCCCTGCATGGCACGTACGTGTTCGACGACAACAAGCAAATGACGTGGCAGTCCTGCGCGTCCAACATTGTCGAAGCGCTGAGCCATCAGTTTGTGAATTTGGACGATGTTGTCGCCGCGACGTGTCCAAACGCCGCAACCAAGGCAGCGATCCAGAGCCAATGATGCGGTGAATGGCTGGAAGCGACCTCAACTTCTTCAGTATAAGCCACCCAAGGCAAGGCTTGATGAGGGTACAAGACTGATGTGTACCCACTCTCATGGAGCTGTGCGACGGATGCGCGTCGGCGTCTTCGTGAGACATCTCCGATAAAAGTGGTCGACGTTCCAAACCATATTTTTGACAACTGAGTGCTTGATCTGAACGTGTGCATGATACCGGATGCACTCACTTGCTTCATGCGTGTTGAGAGATTGGGACGACTGTGCTGTCTGTGGATGGTCGCCTGCAGGCTCGTCGCATGGCATTCTCGCCATGGCACGTTTCGGCCATGCCGCGTCGACCACAGCGCGCCCCTTCCTCCTCGCAATTTGTCGTGCACATCGACATGACGTGGCACCAACAAGTAGTTTCACGATAGACTATCTACTGCTACGCCTTGGCTTCCACGACCCCGTCGTCGTCCGACTTCTTCTTGAGCTGACGCTTGGGCTTGCCCAGCTCACACTGGTTGACATGCTGGGCAAACCGCAACGAGCAAAGGCTTTCGTGGGCCGACTCGACCGTGGGCGACAGGTTTACCTAGCATTTTTTCCCTCACGTACCACCCGAGATCGAGCGTTGTACGGCGGTCACTTACCATCATGAGCGTCTTCCCGTCCCCAGAGAGGCAGCTTTGCAATAAATATGTCAACTTGGAGTTGCGAAATGGAATCTACAAATCCCGTTGAAACAACATCCGACCGGCTTCAAACGAATCGCTTACATGGGGACTCTTGTTGCCAATGGCCGCAAACACGTCCGTGAGGCAGCTCAGGCTTTTGTTGATGGCTTGAGTTTCTTTGAGTCGCGATCCCGTCGCGCCGGACCTCGATAGCCGCTCGCTGCCAGCCAAGTCGACGAGGTTTAGCTTGCCTTCGAGCACCGTGCCTTGGGAGTCGTTCACACCTTCTCAACACATTCCATCAGCCCCCTTTGTCAGCGCGGTATGGAGTCGTCATCGTACCTCGCAAGTGCAGCGAAAACACACTATGCGACCGGGATGATTGCGCGTTCATATCGGTACACGCGACGCTGCGAACGCGCGCCGCTTTTTCCATGATGCCTTCGACTTGGTGGAGGCTGTGAATCGGCACGAGGGTCAGATCTTGGACCGTGACACCGTTGCTGCTCTTCGGGTCCATCTTCAGGACAAGCTTCTTGTCCACGTCCGCCTTGTCCGCAAGCAAGTCGCGCACCGTTTCGTTGTAGATCTCCAAGAACGACGCGTGCATGTCGTAGCGCCAGCCTTGGTCCGCGCTCTTTGTCGCTTCCGCAATGATCTTCTCAATCGAGCGCGGAATGATCCCGCGCATGTGACCATTCCCGCTGCCTTGCATCTACCGTGACCCATCAACACATTGTCGACCTGCTTGCCAGATCACGCACCGTGTGCGTTTTACCCGACCCCGTCTGCCCGTACGAGAACAAGCACACTTGGTATCCATCGATCGCCGACTGCACGAACTCGGACACTTCCTACCCATTTCCATCCGTGAATGTATGAGAATCCACGCCATGGACCAATTCTAGGCATGTCAGCCACCAGCACGACAACAGGACCGGCATGCACTGGACAAGAGCAGCACAACCAGTCGCCCGACAAGACTTGGTCGAGCTTGTTACCTCAAAGACTGCGTCTTGACCCACGGCAGGGGCGAATACTCGATCGAACGTGAAAGCGTGCGCTTCCTTCTCTCGCTTCAGCGTAACGCGTTGCAGGTCGCCGTCACATGCGAGCGCCGACTGCGTGGCATCGCCGTCCGATGGAAGGAAGGGACGGGTTCGTGCAAACACGCGGACATTTCCACGGAGTTCCTGGATCGTATTGTGCATCCTGCGGCGCTGAGCTTCGCCCTCCTTTACTTTGGCTTCCAGCGTTGCGATCATGGTGTCCTTCTCGTGCAGAGTCTGCGAGCCATGGAGATTGAGTTCCTTCAGTCGAAGTTTGAGCACTTCGGCTTCACGTTTTGCTTCGACCAACGCCTTCATTTCGACCATCTCGTTGTCCGCATGCTTCGAGCGCCACGTGTTCAGCTCGCTCTCGGCGCTCACCTTGGCCTCGCGCAGTTTTTCAACTTCAGCGGTGTGCATGACCGCGTTCGAGTGCATCCGCGCCTCCAACGCTTCCAACGCGGCTTTTGCGGCCACCATTTCGTCTGCATGCCGATCAACCATGTGCTTCATCTCAGCCTTCACCGCTTCCATCTGGGCGTTCATTGCAAGTTGCTCCACGCGCAACTCCCGCATTTGAGAATCAATCAGCACTCGCAGTTCCTTTTCGATGCTTGCCTGACGAATGTGCTCGTGTACTTCATTCGTCACTGCTCGAACTTGCTCCGACTTCTCTGCGACCAGCACCAGCGCTTCGTCTTTGGCGGTCCGGCAAGCCTGCATTGTCGAGTTACAAGAATCCATGAGTTTCCACCAAACAGTAGAATAGGGTACTGAGGCCGCACTACCACTTCCCAATGTTGAGCTCTCTTACCTGCAGGTCGGCTTCCACGTGGCGCAATGACGTGCTAGCAGCCGTGTATTTGGTATCGAGGTCTTTCACCTGGGCATCCAGCTCGACGAGTTTGGCTCGCAGTTGAGTGTTGTCGGCTTCGAGCTTTACATTAGCAGATGTAGCGAAGTCCTGCATTTGTTTGAGGCTTGCAAACATCGTCGACACTTCGTCGTCTTTGCGGGTCAAGCTCGCTTTGGCGGACGCGTGGTCTTCCAGCGCAGCGTCAAGACGAGCTCGGAGAGATTGGTTCTCGGTCGAGAGCGTCGCCACTTGCTGATCGAGCTCGATTTTGATGAGATCCCGAGCAGCTTGGGCTTCGACGAGTTGCGTCTGGAGGTCGGACGATCCTTGAAGCTGCGACTTGGCTTCACCCAGCTCGGCCGTGAGGCGGTCCTTCTCGCTTTTTAGCATGCGAATGGTCACTTGCATGTCGGTCACGTTGCTTTGGATCTCGTGGGTGACGGCATCGACTTGCTGACTGCGCTCGCGGGCGTGGTCCACTTCCCGCTGAAGGACTTTCCGGTCCATGGCAATGGTTTGGTCCAGCTTAAATGCGTCTTGCTCGAGCAATTTCGCCTAATCAGAGAGGTCGTCACGGATGGCCCATTGAAAGAGGATGGGTGGCAGCAACGTACTTCGTCCACAACTCTGCGAAGAAGGCCCCGCAGGTCTTGTAGTGTCGCCCTTTGCTCTTCAAACTTGCCGCGCCAGTCGTGAGGCTTGAGCCTAGATCTCTTCAGCTTGACCGCATCTTCAATTTGACTCACGACGCTCATTCTGTCCTTGATCAGAGCCACAAATGAGTCCTTGGGACTCATGTCAAGGTCAAGTCCACTGCTATGGCCGCTCGCGTTGTCCTCCGATGGACGAGGTAAGTCCGAGATGGCGATGGCTGCAGCAGCTGCGACCTCAGCAACACTGGGCTTGTTCGATGCTGGGGGAATAGTGGTTCTCCTAATGCGAGGTTTCACAAGTGCACGCGGCTGTGGAAGCGCGGATCCTCGTTTGCCCTTGGGCACTGACGTTGCTGGCTTTGGAAGGGAACCTGGTGGTTTTGGTACAGAGCCAGCCCTGCTCTTGGGGTTCGAGGTCAATGGTTTCGACGTCGCACCGTCCGTTTGTGCAGTTGTCAAGTCCAGTTGCAAACTCAAGTGACTCGACGGAGGTTTGGTCTCCACGATCACGACGTTCGCGTTCTTCCCGTCATTCTCATCTTGGTTGGATTCGCGTTTTGTTGTAGTTGCGGCAGCAATGATGATGGGCTTGGGTGGAACCAATCCAAACCCAAATCGGTTCAACCTGCTCGTTGGCGCAGCTTGTCCGAGTCGAGGGCCGTCTTTGATACCCAAGTTTAGGCTCTTTGCAGGCGGGGCATACTCGGCACCATCCTCGCCCTCTTTAGTCCCGTCGACATCGGCGAGTCCTTCGAGCACTTCGCGCTGCCGCTTTCCTGGCGAGGCCATTCCCAATCTACACCGTCGAGATGACACCCGTGAAACTCCTGTTCAAATTTTCAAAAATAGGATGTCGAATTTAATGAGCCAATCAAAACTCTTCAGTTTGCAAAAACCAAGTAGCTTTTCCACCAATCAAATTTCCAGACTAGAATGCATATTGAGAGGTTTATCAAATGTCAGAGGTTCTTTGGATCCACGATTCTGGTCGCCATTTGACGGTATCTTGAGGGGACACGCTTGCCATCCATCATGTCGGTCGAAAGATCCCTCGAGTCGCTCGGGTTGAGCAGTGGCGACCCCGAAGAAATCTTTGACATCCACTCGCGGGAAGGAGCTGGAGCGTTCGGCCAAGTGTTTCGAGCGAGTTACCGCAGTACGCGTAAAGAAGCTGCGCTCAAGGTCATCCAGATCGCATTGAAACCCGGCCAGTACGGCGAAGACGTCGACAACGTCCGTCGTGAAATCGAGTTCCTCCGTGAATGCGACCACCAAAATGTCGTCGCGTTCTACGGAGCGTACTACAAGGACGGCGCGTTATGGATCGCAATGGAATATTGCGGTGGCGGGTCTGTCGGGGACATTTCCCGGCAACGGCGGCTGTGCGAGCAGGAGATTTCAGTCATTATGCGCGGGGCGTTGGAAGGACTTGCACATTTGCACTCAAAGAAAAAGATCCACCGCGATGTCAAAGGTGCGTCCATTCGAGTGCTTGCCTCCATGGATACTTTCGCTAGGTCGTGGCATGCTGACTGCGCACTCTAGGCGGAAATATTCTCCTCACCACCGACGGCAACGTCAAAATTGCCGACTTTGGCGTATCAGCGCAGCTTCGCGACACATTATCTCGACGGTACTCACTCCTTAATGCTCTTAAGCCTTCATGCAATTGGGTTGCGCAGGGGCACGTTCGTGGGCACACCTTACTGGATGAGCCCCGAGATGATCCAAGACAGCAATTACGACTACAAGGCGGACATATGGTCACTCGGCATTACCGCAATCGAACTAGCCGACCAGCGACCTCCTCTCTTTGACGAGCACCCGATGCGAGTGCTGATTCAAATTCCACGCAACCCGCCGCCACGACTCAAGCAGCCCCAAGACTGGTCGGCGAATTTTTCGCACTTTGTGCAATATTGTCTCACCAAGTCGCCCGCCGATCGTCCGACGGCTGTGGCGTGTCTTGCCCATCCGTTTATCATGTGCTGGCGCGATATTCCTCGCGTCGTGCCTGGAGGCGGCGGGGTCTTACATCGAACGAAAAGCAATTTACATGAAGGCCCAGAACAACCACTCCCAATACTCCCTGCAGTCCCTCCGTCGTCGATGCCAACCATTCCCGAGTCAGACCAGTCGAACGCATCAACACTAGATGACTTGATCACTGCCGCTCAGACCATCTCCGACGACGAGCTCGACGACAACGCGCCATTGGACGCGTCCGAAGTTCTCGGAGCGGACTGCCACGAGGCATCCAGGTCGTCGTCGAGCGACGTGTCGGACGTCGTCCTTGATCGGTTGCTTGCGATGGTGCCACCCGATGCCCTCGTAGACGATGAAAGCGTGCTCTTAGAAGCGTCTTCGAGCGCCGTGAGTGAGATCGACGTAATGGACGATCTCATCTCGATGGCTCGAACGTCGTCGATGGAACCAGGAGACCATGTCCTCGACAACCTCGACGACGACAACGATACTGCAGAAGTTCCACAAGAAATCACTCCCACCAACTCCAACAACACCAGCACGAACCAACTACTGGCCGCGAATGCATCATTCTCCTGCGACAGACAGCCATCAAACGAGGAATTCGGAGAGGAGACCGAGGAATTCGGGGAGGAGACGTCTCCCGGCACAAAACAAGCCGAACTTCACGATGGAGAGAAGGCTGACAACGCCCTGGTGCAGCCCAACGATGATGCGTGTGCTGAAGCGGTGGACCAGCCACCATGTCCAATCGACCAAGCGCTGCCTTCATGCCCACCTCATGATGCCCCATCTCCAGATGGCGCACCTGCAGACGATGAGCAGCCTGCACCTTCGTCGTCGGACAAAGTTGAACAGCATCCAAACTCACCAAATTCATCTGACAGTGACTTGGACGACGACGACGGTCTACCCCCGACGAGTGAGCTTCCACCGCAACCAGAAATCGAGCCGATACTACAAGTGGAGATCAAGCCATTCGTTGGTGGTGTCGCTGACATCGCCTCCAGCGCCGTCAAGGAAGGCGGGTCGCCCCCTCCATCGCCCACACACTCTGCTCCGACAACCTTTGTCGGGACTCCTTTCCGCGTTGCCCATGACGTGTGTGTACGTTACAACACGTACGATGCGAAGTATGAAGGCGTGCCAGCGTCGTTCGGCCAGCTTCACAAACACTTTGGCATCCCGTTGGCACAGATGCGATGTAGCACCAAGCACCCGGACGACCTCGTCCCCGCGCTGCTTCGAATGCTGCGACGAGAGCTGGGGGAATCTGGAGTCACAGCCAAGTACATCTACCGGTCGTCGCCGGACCACGGGCAAATCCAAGCCGCGAAACTCGCGCTGAATGCAGGGATGTTCGATGGCTCTGCAAAGCGCAATGATCCGTACTTACTGTCGAGCTTGATCAAGTGTTGGTTTCGAGAGCTCCCCGAGCCATTGTTGGCACCGTGTTGCAAGTCGAATGCTGCCGTCACGGCGGTGACGTCCCTCGTGATGAAAGAAGCCGGCAGCACCGACGTGAGTCTGCGATGCGACTTTAATACCCTCGACGCTGCCATACGAAAATTCTTGTCGCCGCTGTCGAACCAGGCGCGGCAAATCTTCGAGTGGCTCGTCGAGCACTGGTGCGAAGTCGTGGACAAGCACACACTAAACATGATGAGCTCACACAGCCTGGCAATCGTTTGGGTGCCCAACTTGATCACCATGTCGACGACGTCGACTCAAGAAGCGAGCCGTGTGTCCAACCAAGTCGCCATGATTCTGCAAGTGTGCATCCTGTGGCGGCAACAAATCCTCCAGGCAAATGCTGCTTTGGTTGCAGCGAAGAAACAGCCCAGCGTGCTTGCCCTCGCCATAGACCCGACGCCTCCATCCCCCCTTGAACAGGCGGCACCTCCCAAGGCACTCATGCCGCTGTATGTGGACGGCAAGCTCTTCCACGCGCGAACTTCCCTTGTCCGTACCCTCGCGCTCGAGATGGACCGCATGAGTCGGGAGAAGTGGTCCTTTGTCGAATGCCAGCGTCATGTGCTCAACCTATTGCGCTTGCACGCACGGACTCGACAAGAGCGCGAGTTTGCCGACAAGTTGCTCCAGAACCCAGCAACGAAACCTTCGACACAGCCCGCGACCCTCCACGACTGCGCGCGGTGGATTGATATCGCCATGGACGCAGTGGCGTTTGCCGAGTTCCAAGCACAACAGCGCGACGTCGCGAACCAGCTCAACCAGGTCTTCCTTGTGCCTTCATCTGCATGACGCTCATGGAATTTGTAGCTGTTGTTGCAGTATCCCCAGTTGACGCTCATGCCGTACCTGGCAACGTCCCGTCCTCTGGTGGTCCCGTCGGTCACAAACCTCCCATAGCATCCACCACGGATACGGACATTGCCGAGCGACACAGTCGTCGCAAGTAAATTGAACATGTTGAATGCAATCACAAATTCCATCGAGCTCATTTGTGCATGGGACCAATGGTCTTGAGCTGCCGGAGGACGGCATCGACGACCGATCGCTTCAAGCCGACCGTCGTTTCGGCCTTGGATTTGCTGCTCTTGAAGAACATGGACGATGACGACGCCGTCGATACCGCGGTCTCCTTGAACTTTTCAACCACAGCCGCGACATGATCGGGCATGACATGAGTATACTTTCCACCACTCCTAGGACACACATAGCGATTCGAATAATCGACGAGAAGGCGCGGCACGCACTTGAACGTAGTCTGGTCCAACCGCTCCAAGTCATCCGACACGATCAGGTCGACCAGTTGTGTCATCGGGAGGAAGCAGTCCTTGAGCTGGCCGACTCCACACGTTCCAGCGTACTGCACGAGCGCATCTACATCGAATCGATGCGAGGATTCGTTCCACATCCGTGCCATCGTACCGAGGTTCCGCTTAAAGTTGAGCATTCCCGTCAAGTTCATCTTTTTCACGGTTGGGCCCACGAGCACTTGCTCCAACGCTTTGTTGATGTGAATGCACGACGCAAAGTGCACAGCGTCTTTGATCGGGAGGGGTAGCGTGCTCAGTTGGGTGAACGATGCCTACGAATTGCAGGATGACCATGTCGACGGGCGTGGACGACCATGAATAGATCGATGCGTACTTGGAGGTAGTTGATAAGGTCGCTCATGCACGGGTCCGCCTGCTTTGTCGGGTCGGTGGGGAGCCATTCGAGAAAGTAGAAGGACGCAATCAAATCGTCAATTTTCTTCACCTACACACATCCGACCATTGCAACTCTGAACATGGTCAAAGGCCATACATACCATGATCTCGCACACCATGTCTTGGGCTCGAGTCGACGTGCTCTCGAGTCTAATCTCCCACAGAACAATCGTTTGGACAAGATGGCAAGGTGTTGCCGCAATGGCATTAACTAGCATGTACCGTTTCTTGGCCATGGCAATGGTAAATGTGGGTCGTGATCCAGCCGCACTTGGCTGTTGTCCTTTGGCGGTCTACAGTCGTTCAACGTCGAATAGACAAGGAATGGGGCGAACGTCCGATAGCTTGCATTCTCACCTGCGCCGTCAACGCGCGCATTTCCCACAGATCAATCTTTTCCTGAAGGACGGCCGCGAATACGTTGCACGCACTCGACAAGTAGGACGAATTGGCACCAGTGATGACGGCCTGGAGGACATTACGCCACGGGAAGGCACGGACGCAGTCACTTTACCTGGGAAATCTGCAGGTCCGTGTGGTTCTCGATGAGCTCGTTCAGCACAACGTTGAGCTCGATCAAGGCCTCACACGTGTCTTCTCGCACAAAGTAGCCCCAGTCCGCGATGTTCAAATGCCTACACGTCGATACAATTCATGCTTTGATCGTTGACATGCTCGACGAGGCTGTACCTTTCAAACTCAAACATCATATCGATCATTTCATGGATCGCTTCGCAGCTCCGCCGCACGACCTACGAAGGTTTCGGCCCGTTGCATGACGAGTAGCGATGGACGAACTGCCGTGAAAGGAAGGTAAATGTTGCCCTTCGAGTCGGCCGTCCGCAGAAAGTCGTCGCCTTGCTTGTCCAAGCCACAGAGGTGCAGGTACTACCATCCACCACAACGAATCAGCGACAGCATTCGTACAATCGTCGCAAACAGTCCGGAGTCCGCAGCACACGATGGACAAGTACTCGAGTGAGGGTAGTCGTCGTACTGCGATGTAGTTGCTTTTGGTTGCTTGGACTTTCTGGAACGTGTCTTGCAGCAAAAACTCGCGCAGTTTCCTGGTCACGTCGTTGAAAAGGCACGCCACCATGGACACCCCACGTACACTTTCATGTCGACCCGACACTTTTTGCGGTAAAAGTCGCCCATGCCGCGAAACGCGTCCAGGACAATCGACGTGTTGAACTGGTGAATGTCGTCGCCCAGCACGCGTGCACACAGCGCAGCATTTCGTTTGATGTCGACAATTAACTTGGGAGACTGGAGCTTCAACGTGAGGGCCATCATGAGCCCACTGAGGCTCTGGAGCACAGACAAACAGGCCGCATTGACCTGTAGCTCGCACATGACTTCAAATTCTTGTGTTCATCGTGGTAAAAAACCTCTTTCTTCGACAACAAGCTCTCGTTCGAGTACACAGCAAGAAGCTTCTCCATGCAAAACGTGCCCACGATCCGCTTGAACATCTCGTCATGCTGTGTCCAGTCAGTGGACCAGTTTTTCTCCTGTCATAGCTACCTGAGCAGCGAACTTCTCGGCCGAAATCGTCCCAATGTCGCCCGAGAGAAAGGCGGAAAATTGGAGTTGCGGCTATACGCTACGTTGAGATCGTTCGAGGATTCAAAAATGAAGCACCATGCGGTTGGTGTTGTAGAACTTGGCGAGTTCCGACGTGGTGTGCAAGTACTTGTACACATGCAACGTGCGCAGCATCGGTGCCAGCAGCGCGAGCGCTTGTTGGCAGTAGTCCGCATGCAACGCATTTTTGGTGCGGATGTCCTTGGCGTGAAGACTCAGTGCTTCCAACGAAGGCAAGTGCAGCGTCGAGTCCGAGTCGGCCAGATGCGACAGCGGGAGAGTCGCGGTAGACTCTTCCCCGCGCTTCATGGCCTGGGCACCAATGGACTGCCAACAACAGTAAAATAAAAAGTTCCCGTCTCGATGCGATGTGGTGGCGAAGAGACTTACGCTAGCTGCATTTCGAATGTCCTCGAGCCAAAGCGATGTCCTTCTCGTCGTGTACTCGCGCAAATGGGTCATCGTGGCGGCAATCCAGTTGTTGACGCGTTTTGCGAACCGATTGCCCTGAGTCAAGAGTCATGTGCATGGATGGGATGCTCCTCGTGCAGCGTACTCGGAAGGTCGAAATGTCTGCTTTGATCGTCTCGAGCACTTTGAGCGCATGGTAGAGTTGGTTCGCTTGGATGTACTTGTCTACTTTTGTTGTGCATTCCACCTGCATTGCTTGAGGAACATGACACAATGAGGGAGGACGGGTCGTACGATGCGCTGGCACTGCTGCAGACGCTCGATGGACGTGTCAATATTCCGACGAATCTCCCGACATGCTGCCAACATGTCGTTTCCTTGGACGAGGGGAGCTGTAGCGTCCACGAGCTCTTTGTTGTACTTGTCGATGTGAACCTATTGACGCGGTATACAGTGCCCGCTGGATCCCCCACGGATTCACCGTCCTCGCTGTCACGCACCTGGAGGTCGTTCACGTCGCATTTGATCTGCACAATGTCTTCGATAGACTGGACGAATTCCTGGTAATGCGAGCTGCACACGTCTCGAATTTCTTCCTCCTTTTCGGCAGCGAAAGCCCGTAGGCACTCTGTCAAGGCATGAGCACGATTCAGGATGGACCAACGTCACCGGAAAAGTCATTGTCCCATTGATTCTCAATCGCGACTTGAATGCTTGGGGCCAACCGCGCATGCGACTGCGCGATGTTCTGGACGAGGATCTCGCATTCCTTGCGCGCATTCGTTCGTTCGTCCTTCATCTTGGATACCCCAACGAGGGAAAATTCGCTACGGCGTTTCAACGAGAAAGGTGATATTTAAATACATTCCTTACAAACGCCAAGCTAATTAAATACTTTTACCTGAAATGCAGACGGATCTTTGTCGCGACCGCCATCACGTGCAAAATGCGCCTTTGGTCGTTGTTTACGTCGTGTCCATGGACGTGGCGGCACGAGCAAGCGGCGCTCATCTTCCTGTCCGTGTTGTCCCTCATGTTCATCACTATCTATTCCAGCTCGTCAACACCATGGCTTGATCAGGAATGGAGTGAGCCGACACCTGTCGACCCCAACCCATCACGCAGGAACATCACCTCGGTATTTGATCCCTTTCTTTCGTCGATATCGAGCCTTCCTCCCACGGAAGCAGTCGTTCTCCGTCCATCACTCAAGTGGACTGTAACAACGTGGCAGTATTGCATCACAATCTGTACGTGCGCTCAACTCTATCCATCCAGAACCTTCTCCCCGTTCGTGACGATGCGCTCGTCGGTAGATGGCATGGACAACGCCTCCACCACAAGATCGTCGTGCTATCTCTGGAAGGACGCGTGCGCAGCCCATCGCACAGACATCTGCAAACGAATCGCGTCCATGCAGAGCCTGACCTTCGTGTCGCTCGTCATGAGCATGATGGCTCTCTACGCTGGCTACCGTGCGGTCGCTGAAACCTCGCTTATGATGCCATTATGGTGCATGGGGTGTCGGGCTCTGCAGATTGCGCTTGAAGCAGGCCTCGTCATGCTTGCATGGGAGCTGGAGGCCCCGAACACGATCTTTCAACGGGGCTTGACCATCTCAACTGGTGTCTATGTCTGTGGTGCTCACATGTGCGTCGTCCTCTTGGCGTTTTCAGCGGCATTGCATGTCTTTTTGAGATTCCAGTCACCGCCGCGGCCGTCATATATCTTATTTGCCAACGCACAGGACGCTGCATGACGCACCATGTTGATTCAGCCAAGTTGTACAGCATCTGAGAGGCACAGGATCGTGTATGCCGCAACGCCTGACGTCGACCTGGTGGAGGTAATCGGCAGATAGTTAACAAAGAATAGCAGAGCGACACAAGTCTCGTTTTGGAAAGGGTCGAAATCCCGCCACCGGTCAGCGCAGTGATTTGCGCTCGGCACAGTTGTTGTCGCAGGCGAGCTCTGGATGCATCTAGATATTGTCGGCGCTAGTATATGTGCGGACATATTCCTTGAACAAATCTAAACACAACCGTGAGAACTTCACCTTTCATCGTTTTTGGACGCAGCAACGGACCGAGTCGGCGATCAAGCACTTCGTCCAGGACATGGTCGTAGCTCCTACGCGACGTGTGCTGTGTGTCACTGCAGCACATGGCCGTTTGACGTACTTCCACCGGGTCACCACGTCCTTCGGCTGCGTTTCGAATCGCCTCATTCGTGTTTTGATAAACTATCTCATCTCCATGAGTACACACATCCGATGGCGCGACCAGTGTACCTCTGCGATTGCGTTGAAAAGAACGAAGAGTACAACGGAGGATCCGACCAACTTGAGTGTGCTCAACAGCCCCAGCGGACCGTCCAGCACGAGCGGTTGGATGGCTTCGTGGGTCGACTCGACAAACGACATGACGGCATCAGCGTCTAATATCGCGGCAGGGAGCGACGACTTGTACTCGCCCTATTACAAGAGGATCTCTCGCTTGAGCAAGTGCACATGCCATAACGGCTTGAACGCACCAGCAACACTACAAACGTCACCAGGGGAATGACCCACGCGGTGAGCGCAAACCCGAGCGCCACGATGTGCCGCGATCGCTTGGCAGCACGTTGCAGTTCGTCCTTGAGAAGGAGCCTGCGACAAGTATCCACAATGGCTCTAAAACGCTGAGTCGAACGAGCGTACCGTCGAATTGCGTCTCGAATGGCTTGGCAGTCCCGTTCAACTTGGCTCAAGTTGTCTTGGACCTTTTGATGGATCGCTTTTTCAATGCATTCGCAGACCGCGTCAATTTGGTTTAGGCTGTTCATGGAATTCGCGGCGGTATGCTCGGCCGGCATGAGGTGCGAGTTGGTCGGTCTCGTGATCCAGATCGACGGAATCTCGAGGCCGTGCTGGTTCTGGATATTCGCCTTGATATTTTGCGTGATTTGGACCATGAGCTTCATCATTTCTTTTGAGTCCGTGACGGTGTCGGCCTTGGTCAAGTAGTACTTCATCTTATCCGCGTACTGGCCATTTTGATTCAACGCTTTCACAACTTGCATCGTGCGACTGCAGAGTGCTACATTAAGATAGAGTTTTCACTCCTCATGTTCGCGTTTGAAGCAACGTACCTTGGCCCATGGGGTCCAGAAACACAAAGATCAAGTCGGCGTAAGCAGCCATCGCGACGATTGCGGCGTTCACGTCAAAGGGATACGAGATGTCGCCGTCCACGAGGCCCGGGGTATCGCAGAAGTCGACCACATTGAAATGACGCGCCGTGGATGTGCTTACATGGGTCGTGAGGTTCTCCACGAGAGACTTGCCGAATTGTTTGGACAGTGGTGTCAGGTGTGGATACAACATCAACGTGGACTCGCCCTTGATCGGTGCTAGCGTCCGCTTCGTGCCACTTGTAATGAAGGTAAACCCTTGGGTTTCAATCGCGACGCCCGTGCGTTGAATGTCTTCCCCGACGTACCAGTTGATGAATGACGACTTGCCTGCGCTGTGGTTGCCGATGATCATGATGCTCACCTTCTTGCGAGGGGTAAGGATGTCCACACCCAAACCGACGTCCTTTGCGATGGCGTTCAAGCCATGTGGCGCCGTGTACAGCTCCGCCACGCTCGTCATGATCATTTCTTCCTCCATCGTGGCGGCTCGATGGTCACACCGAATAGTATGCGCTCAAATGTCGAGTCGAATGTATCCGGATATTAAACGGCGTTCGAAACGATTCCACTCCCAGCAATGTCCGGATCTACAATGATTTAACCGGACACACCGCTGTGTTTACAAAACTTGGTTTCGAAACGTCGTGCTCCAAAATCTGAAATCTCTACGAAGGACAGTCACCATGCCGACTCCACCGCTCTGTAGGGAGATGCGATGTACACATGAATGTGTGACACTCACGGTCGAGATGAATGTAGTCCATGGCATCGACATCACTCCGCTCGAAGGGTGGATGACAAAGTACAAGAGCAAGGGCAAGTTCTTTGGAACGAGCAACAAGCGATGGTTCAAGGTGAATGTGGCGACAGACGACAACGCAAGTCACATCCAACGGCTGACGTTGAGTTACTTTAAATCCAAGTACAGTCATCTGTGCATAGTCTCCCTCACCGCCGTCGCGTGTGTTGTACAGGAAAGCGACCGAAGTCCGTGGGTGGATCTACCTCGAAGATGTGACAGAAATCAGCAACAAAGCCGTAAGAATCCATCCGAAACGACGTGCGCATACCTCAAGGTTTTTTGTTAGGATGTCATTGAGATCGTGTCGCCCACGCGCACACTGCGTCTTAAGGGCGAGACGGTCGCGGAGCATCGCATGTGGCTCGAGAGTTTGCGGCAGCTGTGCTTCCCCCAACAGCCGTCGCCGCCGCGCGAGAGCGCCAAACAAAGTACATGACCGATGAATCATCAATCATACTCACCAAGTCGTCCAAGTAGTCGACTCCACCGAAGGACACCTCTCGTCGAAACCCACGCCTTCACGTATGCCGGGCTTTAACATTGCACAATCATGGCTTGGATCACCACTTTCAGCTCTGCATCCGTAGTCGACCGCGCAGAGTCGCAGAGCAAGGCTTCGGTAAATTTTCGTACCCGGCGGGCCGAGAATGCTCATGTTCAACTGTTCTAGGTTCCAGACCCACTAGAGGAAGCTCCTGCTTATGTCGCTTACGCCTCGGCGAGGAGCGACCCTCTTCCCGAAGCGAAGGCTCGGCCGAGTGAAGCGAAACTGCAAGCAAAGCAACCGTCGACGGGAAACTTGACGACCGAGGCAGCGGTCAAACAGCACGAAGAGGTTCCACCCGCTCGCGCTGAAACAAAATCGTATGACACTTGAGCCAATACAATTACTGGCACTCACATTCTAGATCACTGTGCAGAGTGAGCGAGGAGGTGGCAGAAGTGAAGCCCCCACTAAAGCCTAGGGGTTCCGTTCTCGGTACTCTGCAGTCGTACTCAATCGTTTCACGCGCGGCGCATCATGGTTGTAGACTTGCTGCCCCGCGATGAGTCGCAAAATGCGCTCCAGTTTTCGGACTCTGACGATTCGGATGATGAAGACGGCAATGACGCCAAAGCCTCGTACATCCACGCCACAGCAGACAACGCACGAGGCTAACAAGTGGTTGTAGTGGAAAGCAATCGGAAGGTGCTGAACAAGAGCAATACACTGCCGGTGCGTTGGGTCATCTCGTTTGGCATTCTCTTCAACGAGTGTGGGCGCCACAATGTAGCCACCAGCGCAACTAGCCCACACGATGCGTCTCCGCCGCACGACACCGCGTCCGTGTACGCTCGGGCTTTGTGTCGGTCGTGTGCTGATTGCGTGCATGTAGCACGGACGAAAGAGACGTAAACTCGTTTCAAGGCTCGAACAACTCATTCACGGATGCCAAGCAACTCGACGAACACGAGGATGCCACAGAAGTTCAGCGGTTTGAACCGAGCCCAACGCGACCAACACCAAATAGCGATTACTTTGACGACGACGTTGCCGACTCGCCCAAGAAGCCTGCGTCTCCACCCAAGCCCGCACCGTAATATGACCTTTTACGTGAAAAGGATCGATCACAGCCATATCGACCGCGTAGATCGTCGACGGTGCGTGCCGACAACAACTTTGTTACGGAGGATTGGGACGATGATGACCAACCTGTCGTGGCCAAGGCTCCGTCGAAAGCCCCCCCTCAAGCAGGCGTCGCCGCGGACGCCAACTTTGTCACGGAAGACTGGGATTGATCTCGCAGAAAGGGGTACGGCTGAATGGTCTTGCTCGCGGCCACGACTAATTCTGTGATGTGCAAGGATCTCTTGGCGGTGACGCCACATCGAATGACTGCCAGCATCCATTCGTAGCGACATATTGTAACCCCCTCTTGTGCCGATCTCCCTGCGTTCACCGTGTTTCTGTCATGGTGCGACACGAGTTTGTGGGATATGCTGCACCTGGACACGCTGTAGTTTGACATGTTGAGGCCTTAACAACCCACGCCCGCAGCCATTCCCGCTATCTCCGCGAATTCTTGAAAATTGTCTTGATGGGCGTGCCGCGTGCTAGGCATTATGTTTTGCTGCCAATAGCTACGACAGGATTTCGTTGTAGTCGACACTTATTGCCCGAGCCCCATCCACATTCCGTCGTGTACTCGACCTGCAGCCTCGTTTGTGATCGTCCTATCGGTTTGGTGGGACAGCGGGGTGGCTCAAACATGACGATCACGTCGCTCACGAGCGATGACAATCCCATTGAGGGTCTCAAAACTTCGTTTGAACGGCTGCGAACTCAGGGTGTGTTGCGAGTATATTTCCACAGTCATCAATGAGCCGTCCTCTTCTGCAGATCCATTCGAAGCAACCTTGCAATCGGCAACGCGACTGACGTTGAAGCCGCAGCCTCACACGCGATCACGCATTGCTTCGTCATTTCGTTCGCATGTCCGTACGACAATGTCGTCGGCATGCAATGGTACCCAGTGGCTAAGGAGAATCGTCATGGGGGTAATTTCTAGCCACTGGACCCAGACATCCTTGCAACATCCTCCGTGACGCACCAGTCCATTTCTTGGACGAACTACGTTCGTAGGACGAGGAAAATTGAGTAGGTGAATGCCCATGCGACGATGGCCCCACTTCTCATCACTTGGCAATGGTCGCGTCGAGTGCAGGCCCGTGTCCGCGTTCGGCTCAAGTGAAGGTTGGGAAACCTGTCCAAATTTGCTCTCTACCGCGCCATGCTCGATAGCCAAGACTTTTCCCACTTTAACCCCACAGAAATGGCGCATTGAGTTGCTGCCTCCACAGAAGGCCCAATCGACTTTACCAGGAATTGACGAAAGCAAACACTGGCGATGTGATTCTTTGGCCATAGGTGCTCCCGTCATGCTGCCTGGTCCAGTTGCATCCTCGACGATGGCTCCTCGATAAAAGAAATCAACTGTATGACCGATGTGAGGTGATCGCCACTGAACGAACAGAGCACGAATGTGGCGTACCTCTTCCAGCTTTATTCGCGCCTGTACCTCGTCTTTCGTCAGCTCTGGAAACGTCGAGTTGACGATTTCGCTTCGCTTACGAATCCAACCGACAATGTCCGGACCGTCCATGGCCAAGCCTACTAACAGCGGCTGCCACTACAATTGATGCCCACTTCACGACATGTCTCCAAGACGGTGCGTGATGTACCCGAAGCTCCACGTCTCTGAGATGCTTCGTGTTGCCGTCGACGAGAATGCAATGTGCTTGCCAAGGCTACAAGGCATGAACATGTCATCGCGAGTGAAGAGCGGGAACGGAGTCCGTACCTTCAAGCGGCTCTTGTCATGGCTTATACACAACGACGACACCAAGAGCTGCATTTGGCTGTCCAAGAGCTCTTCTTTGGACGTCCCTGGCAGGGGCGGCGGAACTTTGGATCTTCGTCTCATCTCGTGCTGCATCACGGCGTCGACGAGAACTGCACTCGGCGTGAATAATAGAGCGAGGATTTCCAGCCATTCCATCATGACGTCGACACAATGTGTGGCCACTAAAAGTCACACGTCAATGCAAAAGCGCTCGAATGGTCGATATAGCGGCATTCGTACGGTGTTTTACAACGTCATCGGCCACTGTCGCCAACTCTCGCATGCACTTTGTCGTTTGGTACGTGCCGCATAGCATGTACAGCACATCCATTTTGAACTGCCCGAGCCGCGCGCGCGACACATTCAGCGCTTTGTATAGTGCTGTGAAGCTCTCGAGCCCATGGGAAACCATCGACCAGCACATGCACTGCATCGGCCGCGTCGAAATGGCGTGCCCGAATGGCATGGCCGATGCCGAGACGACTCGTCGGACGAGACTATCCACGCGAAACACCATGCACTGCACCCCTGCCGTGATGCGTGAGTCGCCGAAGTACGGCCTTGGGGCGGTCCATGCGTGCTGGACAATGTTTGGGAAATATGACTGGGTGCATTCTCTCCGCCACTGGAGTGCATTTCGCCGTGAGTTTGACCAAGGAACCAACTGGCACGCAATAGATTTGTACCTGGGCGTAGATACAAGTAAGAACGGTGTGCTTGGTGGCTTCGATGGTCGCACAAACTTTTGCAAACGTGTCATGGGTCCATTGGGTGGCCGCTGTCGGTACGGATCGACTGCCGACGCCAAAGAGCTTTGCTTGCGTATGCGTCTGCCACGTGTCCAGCATCAATCCCAGCCCCACAGCTGTCTCGATCAGAGCCTCGAGCGCTGTCGCGTCGCCCGTCGCATTGGAAATTCCACGCAGGAACACACTCAACTCTTCTTGAAACACTTGCACGAATTGCCGAGCCAGCGGCATGTGTGCCTGTGACCGGAAGCACAAGCTCAGGCAGTTGCTGACGTCGTACATGATCGTGGCAAGGGACTCGCACCGGGCGCGAACGAGGTGCTCATGGAAGCGGACGAGGTATCCATAGGCCCCTGTTTCCGTATTGAATTGACCAACTGCTCGTGACTCGTACACGATGTCGCGCTGGGCAACTTCGTGAATGGCCGAACGGAGGTAGCGGGAGAAGATAAAGTCCGCTTGGCGAAACGGAATGCTCAGCGTCGACCAGATTGCCGTCTCGACGTGAATGCGACATGCATCTGGGCAGTCGCTAGACAAAATGCGGGCAGCTGTGTTGACCTCGTCAACGAAAGCCAACCACCGCTGGCCGGCGTGAACTCGGCTATTCGGGTCGCTCGGCGCCATGCGAATGTGCGTGTCAAGTGGAAGCCAGGACTCGAACAGCGTCGTGGACGGTGTGAGAATAACTTGGCACGAGTTGTCCTCTTTTCGGTAGGCTGCGATTGTAGCTTCGATCCACGTCAGGGGCGGGGCGTTGGCGGAGACGAGGGCTAAGACAGTCCACCCCACGCACGCCTTGACGTCAACTTTAATTTTCTTTTTGCACCGCGCTTGGACACTTTCGAGATCCGCCAAGAAGACGTATATGCCGTTCACGAGTACAGACGGCACAGACGTGTCAGTGAACTGGAGGATGTCGACAGCGAATTGGAGCCACACACCGAGCTGAGTCGGATTGGCCAAGAGCACGTCGACATCGCCCGGACCACTCGTTTTCCCCCCTCGCGGCGACACCATGCTAAACCTGAACGACCGATTCAACGACGTCAAGTTGGCCACTGATCCAGCCGACCCTAACAATGGCTTGCCGGGTTGAATCGCATATGGGTACGCGAAGTCGCGGGTCTTGGGGTTCACCACATACGCTGGGGCATACGACACAAAGGGCAGCTGTAGCGATTGATTTGACTTGTCCATCCAACCAATTGCGTCCGTTACGAGGCTCTTTACTCGGGTATCGAGGAGGGACCGCAGCGTTGGGCCATAGAGAATGTCAACGACCTGTGCAATGCGCTCGATCGCATCCACCTGGATTTCGGGGGCTGGAAAAATGCTAAGGGCCAGTCCGTCGCACGGAACACAGAACACGTCCAAGTCTTCTCGCAACAGCGCAGGAACCTGTCGCAAAAAGGTGTCGAGCGAGTCGGGGGGATGCGCTGCAAAACTGGCGCGACGAGTGTCCATGTATAGTTGCCACGCGTCCGTCGACGGGTTCAATTTAATGTATGTGACCAGCAGCTTGATGTCCCATGTCGCATTGGATTCAACGAAGTTTGTGATTTGCGTCCACATTCCTTGGACGAGCTCGGTCCCGATGAGCTTGAACCGGTCGTCGAGTGGCCATTGCGATGTTGAAGACCCGTACGACGTCTGTTTAAACAGAGTGTTTTGCGCCGGCCGGCGAGCCCGAAGCTTGACACTGGCGGCGCGGGCTTCGAGAAAGAGTTGAATCGCGTCGTCCACGTTGGCTTCCTTGGACACGTTCGGCATGCGACTCGACACAATGGCCGGTTCGTGTAAGAGTGTGGTGACTTCTCCGAGCATCTGCCGCACTTCGAGCTCCTCGGCTAGACACCCCGTGCTGTCGATGCTCGGCAGTAGCGCGTTCTTCTTCATGTTCCGCGACTGGGTCAAAGTATTGGAGGAGCGTCGCCGTTTCAGGTCACCACCAAGCAAGTAACTGGCGTTTGAATCGGTTACACACATGCAACAGGTTAGCAACTTTGGAGGCATACGCAAGAAGATCCTGTTGATCGCGTTAATGGAAGGAGAGTCATGTCAACAAGGGCGTCGCGCAAATGATTCGGCGTCCATGTTGGTCAGGCACAGATCGCTGACTTCACTCGTGCGGATGCTCTCAGCCTTGTCACCTTCGACGTCCTCTTGGAGCACCTGGCCAAATTGAACGCGATCGCGTTCGGCTTGCATGATTTGCTTCATTGTTTCTTGAATGTCAAGGGCCATCCCGTTTGGAAACAATTTGCTCATCACCGCATTCTCGCGCTTCTGCGGCGAGTCCTCCGCGACGAACGCACTCCGCTGAAGCTGCACCTTAGCCATTACCTTGACGGATGCTTCTAAGTTCGCCGACAAAAGCTCGACTTCCTTGCACATACGGCGATACGCTTCAAAACCCCGTGGCAGGTCCGAGATCAGCCCCGCTACTTCGTCCTGCAGCATGTAGCAAAACTTGATGCGGTCCTCCAAATCTTGGACTTCGGCCTGAGTCGCTCCCTCCACCCGAGCCAGCGTGTTGACCATGTTTACTTGGCGGTGGTATTGCTCGAGCGACAACTGAGCCTTTTCAAGGATAAAAGCTGTTGTAGGTGGCTCGGCTTGCACGGCTGTCTAGAAAGGTGAAAATATCGTGACAACGAATCGCAACACGGGCGATTTACGGAGAGGGGGCTGCGCGGGGGACATTTCGGCGGGCTCGAGACAACTCGAACAACGACGGAAGCTCGATTTGGGGAGCTTGACCCTGGACGAAGACAGGGAAGAGTTGCAATGTGCTCTTGGAGCAACCGTGGCACGGCTAGCTCTAGCGCCTACATAACAAGATGAGACAACTTGCAAGTCGGCGTGTGTATGCAACCAAATTCGGAAATTTCTTGAGAGCCATGATCCCGATCGCCTCGAGAAACATGGCGTACGTGATTCGCCGTTCCTTCTTGATCTTGACCTTGCAAAAGGTCAAATCGACATCGACCATGGTGAACGTTGGCCCCACAAGATGGGGGCATTCCCGGCAAAACTTGGCAAAGTTCACATTGTCTGTAAAGGGCGAGTTAGGCGACGGCAGAAACGAGGGAATTGTGCGCACCAAGGGTCACGTCGGTGCTGCTGCCTTGAGTGCTAGTGCGCCCGAACCGGCAGTAGTACTGGAAGACAGCCCGCAGCAAGGTATGTGGGTCGTTGACATCCCCTTGGAGCACCACGGCAGGGGGTGGCGGCGGGGTCTCGATCTCGGCGACCGACATGGATCGCTGCAGCATTCGCGACTTTTTCCGTTCTTGGTAGAGGTAGTAGGGGTCGTTCGGATCGAATGTTCGCTAGGCCAGACACCACGATGTCATTCATGGCGACCACATGTCAGGGCAGGTGTACCTGTGGTGGAGTTGCATTCGCCAGCTTGATGGGAATGGGCCGGTCAACGTTCAAGGGGGTGTGCACGTCTCGCTCCATGGCTTGGCGCTGGGACGCTGGAATTGCCGCCCGTAATTATAGTACAAGACCGATGTAACGACCCCCTTTTTACACCGTGGCGCCAATCCGTCGCAAATTTGACAGGTCCAGCCGACGGCACGCCACTCCGAAACGTAATGGTCAACTTCTCCATGGTACACGACTCTTCTTTAAGCCCCTCCCGCCCCTTGCTTGATGCCGAGAGTCGTGGTGCAGTTTACCTTGGCACGGCTGAACTTCCAGTGGCGTGCAAATATGCAAACTTCCTTCCGAAAAATCGTGGACCCCGCCAGCTGAACCAAAGCGCTTAGTACGAGGCCAACGACGGGCAGGATCGCGGCCCCCAACTTCTCGCGTCGTCGTGTTGGAAGCTATGCGAGGTGCTTGTGTAACAATGGCCACGGTGGAAGCACCCCCATATCAAGTGTCAACATGCCCCATGCCCCTTCGAAGGACGACACTCATGTACGACTTCACATATCAAAGATTGGTCCATTTCGTACATCATGACCACAATAGATAGCACAGGGCCGCCGCTGCCCCGACGACACAAGTTGCCACCCCCAACGTCGATGCGGATTTGTACCGATGCCGCAACTCCACCCACTACATGAAGCGTCCCACACCATGTACAACATCGAAGTACATCGCTTCCGAGTGTAGCCCGATGGTGAGACTCTGATCGACTTGTATTTCTTCGCTTCGAATGCTCATGCTACGAAGTCGTATTACCGCATGTGTCAGTAGTTCCTTGTGGTATCGCTGGAAACGACAGCGAAGAAGGAGGGCACACTTTGGCGGGTCGTTGCAGGAGTCATGGCCGCAAGACTTAAATAGCAGAGAGCGGGGCAATCCTGGCACCAACACTGGCGAAACACGACGTCGTTGGGATTGTTAATTCAACCTACTGCTATCAATCTTGATACGTTCTTTGGATGGGATAGGAAGCTAAGTGACACAATTCACGTTGCCTGTCGGTCACTGCTGGACGTTCGACCGTCATGACACGGCGGGGGATCGTGTGGAATTCTTTTATCGACCAGAAAAGAGCATGAGGGCACCGACGACGATGACAACGCCGGCTACAGCGCCAAAAGTAGCTGCGGACGTGGATACGAGTACAGCGAAAGCATTTTCCAACATGGAGGCCAACCCCACGTTTTCCACCAAGGTCACAACGCCAGGAAATAAAACCCCAAGCACCAGCATGGCTGCGCGCAGCACGATTCCAGCCACGACCCCCACGATTGGCAGCGCCACTGCACCGCACACGGCAGCCAGACCAACCATCCACCACAGCGCACGGGACTTGTCCAATTTCGTCATAGGTTTGGAGAGGCAAATACAAGTATGCCCGTCGAGTTACTTGCGGCAATCATTGATTCGTTGGATTGAAAAAGGCCAACGGCCGCATCTTCGCCCTGCCAGTGCGACAATGAGACTGCCTACACTAGGAACGACGTGTGGTTAGCGGCACCCTGTCACGCTGGGTCAGGGTCGGAGTGGTCGACCGCGATGCTAGGCGTGCGATATTGAAAACGTGGAGGCTCGTGAGCGAGGCTAAACCATGAAGGTACACAGATCTTGTTATTTCATCGGCAATATGAGATAAACCATGTTGACGGTTGAGTTCGGTCAAAGCAATGTGGGGTGGCCCACCCAAAATCGAGTCATCTTTAGCCCGCAAATAGCATTCGACGCATCGTCGCATGTACCGAGAGGGGTGGTTCAAGCTTACAATTTGCATTGTCCTTGCACTGGCTTTTGAGTCCACGATGCTTGACGCGCCGCAACCGCGCCAACAAGACCAGTTGCCGCTCCTGTGACAGCCGCTGAAGTTGACACGAGAGTTGCCGCAGCGTATTGCAACGTTGCGGCGACTCCACCGGCGGCATGGATGGTCCCAACGCCCGACACTACGGTGCCACAGTATGACATGGCAGTTGGAACCAACGCTCCAGCTGTCAATCCAGCCACTGGCAATACGATCGCGCCGACAGCGGCCGCGGTGGCATATCCTTTCCAGCTCATGCCTTCTCGCATTGTCGTCTCTTCGCCTCTGGCACCCGTGTGACTCGCCGGACTGCCGACGTTCTCCATGCAATGAACAATATGAACGAATTCTGTCTTCCGAGCATTTCCATCTCGTCGATGTGCTGAATGTAACAGCGTTATATAACATTTTATATAACATGACTGCACCTGAAATTCAATAGTTTCCTGAAGTACAATTCAAGAGTATAACAATTCGTATAACCGTGTTATAGCTCCACGATAGCAGTGGACCGACACACCAAAATACGCACTTAATAAAGCCTATTTTATTTTCGGGTGTTTTTGGTTTCACAGACCGTCGCATTTAATTGGTACTGTCGTGATCTCGAAGCATTCCTCGCTTCTCTGCCAAGCCCACGCGTGCCGAAGCAAACCCGATGAGCTTTGCTGACCTCGCATCGAATGCCCCTTCCCTCCCACGGACGACCGCAGCGAACGTTCCCTCGGTATCGGCATCCTCGACCGGCAAAAATATCCCCCTCCTGGATAAGTTGAGCCTGAAGTTGGAGCAGTACCAGAGGCAAGTTGGTGCAGTGCGACGACAGGCGCAGAACGCCCCAACATCTATGGAGGGCCAACAAGAGTTGGAAGATCGCATCAAGTTTGCATGCATGCTGCAAGACGAGATCGCGAGGTTACTGCCCCAGCTCCCGAGAACTCCCGCGATGGAAGTGAGTCGGCGCAAGCTGCTCAAGGACTTTGAGCGCATCTCAAATCAACTGGAATCGTCCGTTCAAGATGCGGCAAATGCGCAAATCAAACAATCCGAAGCAATGCGGTACAATGTCGAGCATGGCGATGCATCAACCAGTCTCCATGCGACCGTGAATGGCCAGGCGATTGAATTCAAGCAATTGGACAACGAAATCGCTCACAACGAAGCACTGATCGAAGAGCGCGCAAAAGACATTGATCGGATCCACAAAAGCGTTGCACAGGTCAACGAAATCTTCCGCGATTTGGCGGCAATCGTCGGGGACCAGCAAGGCGCAATTGACGACATTGAGAGCCACATTGACGAGTCTCTGGCGCAGACTCAACAAGGGCTCGCGGAAGTCAAGAAAGCTGCGGCAAACCAAAGCAGTTGCCACATCATGTAGAGGATTTGTGCAAGTACCAA